TAATCAAGGGTCCTAAAAAGAAACTAATAAAGTCAATAAAACCAGATATATTCATTAAATAACGAACCAGCTGTTTGATTTTATTAAAATGCTTTCCATATGTTTGTAATGCTTGCTTGAAAATAGCTGTGTCTTCCTCATTCCATGGTTCTTTTTTGATTCGTCGTTTGGCAAGTTGATGTTTAGCTTCTTCGATATTATAATCTGATGATTGCAAGATAAACATCGCCTGAAATTGAATTATTTGCAGGACAGTACAACACGCTAAGGAAGGAAAAAAAAAAAAAGAAAACGAAACATGCTTTCAGTCGTTTATTATCTTAAAAGATCAATTTATTTAAAACGGAGCGCCCTAGCTGATAGCATAACTGTGCACAGAACACGTTACTGTTTGTTTATCTTGACATAAAGCTACCTGCTTCTTTGATTCATCTTTGGTTACCATTAAGCATGAGTAGTTATCCAGCAAGGAATAGCAGAAGCAGCAATTATGCTAATTATTGAACAATAATCTTTATTTGAAATATTACTTCAGTAGTGAGTTCCATTTTAACACAGTAACACAAACATTACGAGATCAGTAGATCGACAAGTTAGTGAGAAAATTTTTATGCAATTTGCATATATCAAGGTTACCAAACAAAATATACCCGGTCTTGTTCAATATTGAAGCATGAAAGTGCGATGGAAAGGTAGTCATTAATGTCAGCAACTTCCAAGAGATCTGTCGGTCGCCAAACGCAAGTTTCACGTTCTGTATCATCGTAATAATCATCTTCCGTTGTCCAGTCTTGCACTGGACACTGGTAGTCAACACCTTCACGAATTTCAAGATTTGTCGGTAAATGGAATGCTGCGTGATCTAAAAAAAATGCACATCAGATCCTATTTTTACTTTAAATTACTTTAAAATCCGTATCTTGGAGTGGCCAGAATTTCAAAACCTAGAACGCATTACCTGCACCATAAAAGAGCACGCTTCTATTGGAGTCGGAAGGGCCAGGTGCATCTTCCTGTATCACTATCATGTCCTCATCGTCCCCGCTACTTCGTGGTGTACGTTGAAGTTCTGCCTGATCACTGGTTTCTTCATCTATGATGTTTTCATCACCAACATCGACTTCGTCGTTATCCTAGAAAATAAAAAACGTCCATTGTCGAAATACAAAATGAATTTTAATCTCGTCCTCGGTTTGTATTTGCAGCCATGATATACTAAATCAAAAACACAGATGTTTATGACTTGCATATCATTAAATTATGCCACCACGAAGACTAAAGAAGGTGTTGAGTTCACTTCGATTTTTGCAGAAATGAGAGTTAATTATGAAAAAGTCAAATAATCGAAGTGTAAATGTTACAAAAAGAGAATCTCAAATCACATCAAAAAAGCAAGCTAGAGAATGATAATTACTTATGATAAAAAGTTTTCTAATCATTTCTTACAGTTTAGAATTTTCCGACATAAACAAAGCACAGAAATTTAGTAAATTTAGTCAAAAAGGAAAATAAGTTAATAAAAGCAAGCATGTAACTTGGTTGTCATAACGAAAAAGGGACTTTAAGTCATCAAGTGGAAAAAAAGGAATAATCAGACTGAGAACCGCCTAAGAGATATTTATCAGAGTGAAAGATATAAATGTCACCAACCTGCCTCGATAATTGTTCTGATCCTTCCTTAACTTCCTGACCGATATCAAGCTTAACTTTCGCATTACCATTAGGTTTCATTTCCAAATTGGTAGTTCTTTGATACTTTCAAGTCTGGAGAACGTCTTTTACAAACTGATGTCCAACTGGTATATCAACCTGAAAACACCACTTTGTTATTATACAAGCATTTCGTCATATTTTCTATCTTAAACTCAGAATCGAATAAAATGCTTCAAAAACTGAGCACTCCGAAATCTTGTGAAGTACTTTCCGGTGTTTACTGGAATGAGCACTACCTGATCAGCGCAAAACAGAAAAAATCTTAAAATCAAAAACTGCAGTGAAATCATTGATTTAGTTTTGAATGCAATGTGAACTGGTAAAAATTAGCTAAACGACTAATGCAAAGATTCAAGTCGTTGACAGTTTACCGACCACAAGGCTTAGGCTTTTTTATTGTTAGCAAAGTGATGCGATTTGCAATGAATGACGTAATTTCAGTGTAGTATTTATGGCATTCTGTCGTGGAACAGTTAGGATATTCTAATTTATAATGAGAAATACAATGAAATGATCGTTGTTAGTAAATAATCATTTTGAATTATAAATAGTTCTGAAGAGTTGCTACTATGAGTACGACGCAATTGAAGTTCATGGCCAGCTGAGAAAGAGATAGAATTGCGCCATCTAATTTAAATATAAACAAGACTTGAAGACTGACCTCAACTCAATCCATCCACTGACCTCTTCTTGACTAATAGCCATTACTCAAAATTCTTCAGATCAATTACACTGTACTTTGCTTTCGGCACTCAGGCATCCCATAACCGGAATTGGAGAAACCGGTAAGTAACTGAAATGTTCGAGGTAATGCGACATTAGGAAAGAAGTGGAAGAGAGTGTTGAAATTGCGGGATACGACAGAGACTGATAGGAATGGATAGTGATCGAGAGTAGGTTTCGTTATTCTCGGTGACCCGGGAAATATTAAATGTAGGAATTTGGGTGAGTTTAGTCAGTGTTTCAGAAAACGATCGCAAAACATCAGTAATGGAAAGAATAGGACTCTCCTGCAATGTTGAATGATTCGTTCTGTTCTATTATACTTCTTTTGCTGCTGTTAAGGTAACCCATCTTACCGTAAGAATTTTACAAAATTAAATTAGGCTAACAGAAAATGGCTTCAAAATCATCTGATCAACCCACTAAGTAAAACAGATATTGTTACTGAAATGATTTAAATAAGTGTTAACATTTTAATGAGTTAGTTATTAACATTTCACTTCAATAATTTAAATTATTAATGCATGAAATATTTGTATCAGATCAGGAATTAAATCAGTATTGATCTGAACGATGAGAGCTACTATTACGTTATCATCACTCATTGTTATCGTTATCAAACACTAATCGTTATCTGTTATCAATTTTAATTTTAAATGCTTCTTATTGGTCGAGTTTTCTTCTCTCATTCCTTCAAATGTGAATGTTTTTTTTTCTTTTAATTAAAATTTGTTTCAAAGCAAGCATTGATCGAAATATATCATTAATAATTTTCGATTACTTTTTGTTGTTGAATCTATTCATTTTGTGTTATTATTCAACCTCCTCTTAGCAAATTAATTAATTAAATATCAATTTAATCTAAAACAATCACTAAAAGAGTGGAACGGTTTTTGTTAATTTTGAAAAATAAAATTTGACATTTATAACAAAGTTTGACAAAGGAATGTTGCACACACACACATACACATACACACACATACACATACACACACATACACATACACACACATACACATACACACATACACATACACACATACACATACACACACATACACATACATACACATGCACACACATACACATACACACACATACACATACACATACACACACATACACATACACACACATACACATACACACACATACACATACACACACATACACATACACACACACACATACATACACATGCACACATACACACACACAGAGACATTTATTATACTTGCGTACTTTTTTGCACTCTTTCAAGGCCGTCTAATTTTTTTAATTTTAGGCCCTCAGGGTTTTAATGATTTCAAACAAAAGAAACAGAAGAGTTAAAGAAGGAAACAAAGGCGTTCACAAAAGATATACCAGCATAGTGATACAATGTAATGAATTTGATGGCGGACAATTTGGCGTTAAAAATTTGATTGATAATAGTAATGAGCACAGTTAGGCAAAACAATTTATTAGTATGAAAATGAAACTTAAAGTTTAGATTCTCGCATTGCTATAGCTCGACCTGTAATCCATTCATTCTATTCCGATATTAATTTAACTACTTTAAAGCATCGTATGATTTTTTTCCGGGAACTGAGTGGAATTATACTATGTTCAAAAGATATTTATTTATGAAAGAAATGAATAACTGAGCTCAGTTCCTAAAATGTTCACAGTTTATTGTTAGAAATATCATTTCTGTCATGTTTGACTTTCTGGCTCAATTCTAATTGTGAAATGAGAGACAAAAAGATATTCTAAATATTAATGATCCATATATTCTCAAATGTAATATTTTATTTATATTTTGCTTTATTAAAATAGATTACACGTTAACATAATAGCTTTATTATTTAAATTTTAATATTTAATATTTTTAGAAGTTTCATCAGCAAAATTCTTTCAGTTACAAATTACTTTAGAACAGATAAAATAATAATGTTTCACTCGCTGAACAGAAACTAGTGATGATCTGAAATATTGAAAAAATGATTTTAGTTTATAACTTTTGAAAATTTTAGGATATTTTTGTCTTATCTAAACTCAATTTTCAATGTGTATGATAAACACAAATTGATAAGTACTATATGAGTTACTGTTAAATGCTAATATTTCAATGTTTTGACGATTACAATGTGTTTCGATTCATTTTCAACCGCACATTTGTTGATTTTTCTGATGTATTAATACAATTTCAGTGTTATTTCATCAACATTTGTAAATTGAAACATGTTTAGCAACTATTTCTTCATCTTCTTTTCCAGTAATCTTATCAAAACTACCATATTTTGATGATGGAAGAGCTATGGCGAATAAAAACACGAATTTTATTAAAAATTTAACCTGAAATTTCCACTTTTTTCTTTTGACAAACAAACTTATTGCTGATATGCTCTTTTATCTCTGGGATTTTTTTCACTGGTTTTTTGTGGGTCATCTTGTGTTGCAGCTGTAATGTCATATACCGCCTTTCATTTCTAACTACTCATTCCTTTCATCCCTCTCTCTATTAGTTGGCGAACAGGTGGGAGGTTATTATAGTTGACAAACGGAGAACTTGATGCGCAGAAATGGAGACACGGATCGGTCGACTACGGACGACAATCTTGGATGCTCCAGAAGAATCAGGCATATCACCGCAGCATCATGCTACTACCATCGACGCAACTTCTATTACCAACATTGCGAATTCTTCGGCTATTGAAACTACCTATATCATTTACCGCTCTTGTGCTTATCATATTTATAATATTGTATGTTCCATTTACTAGTGCTAGACATCACAAAATTCATTTTGGAAACCTGTGCAAAGAGCCTACTGATTTGGTATGTTCAACATATTATCATTGTCCAAATTTTGCCTAAATCTCTTAATTATTTTAACAGGCCTTTTAACTTTCAAATTAATATGTGCTTCCCCAAATTATTTCAAAATTGCATCATCAGTTTATTAAATACAAAAGTATATCATAATTGTGTTCAAACTTAACTAAATGCATTTAGAATTTCTTGAACTTGCATTTCGTAGAAGTACTAAAGTTAAAACACTTGACTAAAATTTAATTTTAAGGAATAAGCGGATGCATATTTTATTTCTACAATTTATAAATCTCATTGTCTTTAAAAATGAGCCATACAAAGAAAATAACATTCAAATAACTTTCAAAAGCATCTGTTATAATTACATAATTACATAAATGGATAATTAATTATGTCGCAAGGTTTTTGAAGGGGAAGTGGAAGATGAAAGGTGACAGTTTAAGATGGTCATTGTTAATTATTTAACTAAAATCAAATAAACAAGGGAAAAATCATTTCAAATTTCGAACAATTTGTTCTCATTGCTAATTTCTTACGTCAAATATGGGTCAGCTGATAAAAATGAGTCTGCGCTTTGGATTATTTGAAAAAAAAAGTGGATCACAAGCAGAAGCTCTTCCTGTATTTGAACTTCTCTTATTTCTCTTCCATCTACTTTCCTGTGACCTTTTTGTTGACACATATGTAATTACGTTTGCAGTCCATCGTAAGATTCTCCACAAAATTAGTTCGTCAATTTTTGAATATCGGTAAATTCACCACTTTCAAGAATGATTATTCCGAATCAAATTTACATTGTTATCGAGATTATTCGTACATTGATAATAAGACTGGATAATTCGATAAACTAAAAATTATAGCAATCATAATTGTAACTGAAATTAAAAATTAAAAACTTAGCAAACTTTGCGAATTTTTAGAATTGGAGGTTATTTCGATGGTTTGCTGAAACTTCCGAATCCGAAATTCTGGAAATTGGTGATGAAGACTGGAATCCACCAGTGCCAGAATCGAGCTTTTGTAATGCTAAACCAATAACAGGCATTAATTCTACAACAATGCAACGATCTCTGTGTCCATGGCAGTGGAAGTTTGTTTCTAAATTTTAAGTTAGGTTATGAAAATATACCTTCCATGATTTTCTTTTCTGTTCCGGAAAAATTGCTAAGCAAGAAATAACAAATATGGGCAGATCGATTGCTTTTAAAATTAGCAAGATGGTGACAAATGTGATAAGCTGATTGGAAATGAAATGTTGCAAACCAATTCAACTTTTAACGAATACTTCTAATTATTCTAAAATTGAACTTTTACTTTGAAATAACGAATAAAACCTAAGTATAACTGAGTGATTCTTAACAGATCATTCGTCTACTAAATTGCTTTAAAAATACCTTTAGTATTTGCTTATAAACTCATTTGATTTTAAATTCAGTTCTTAATTTCATAAAAATATTCAAAAGTTTTGAGCTCTTCGGAAATTTTTATGTTATTTTTTGTTGTGGCGCTATTAAAAACTCTGAATTATTTTTATAAAATGCTTTTAGTATTTACTAATAAAGTTTTAGAGTTATATGTTTTGATCAAAATAATAAGATATCTTCTTGAACAGATGAATCTCTGATGATATAGAACGTCTGGGAGATGGCAATTCAACTCTCTTTGTTCACCTGTTAAATAACTATTAACCTTTCAGTGAGTCCATTCTAGGAAATAAATCATTGTTCTGAAATACTTTTTAATTTTAGATTGAATCATGATGAAAATCGTGAGCCAAAGATAATTTCTGAAGCACACTGTTTATGTCGTCGTAGTCGTGGAACCTCAGGCTCGTATTGTATGCCAATTAAAAGGCAGGTAAAGGTTATTAAAAATTATTTTTTGCAATCGTTACTCTACCTGTAAAGTTTTTGAGCAATAACTCATAAATGATAGACATTTGTAGAATAAGTAATAAACACAAGACGAATACGAATCATGTTGCTACCCGGAAAAATGGTTTTGAATTTTTTTTCCGACAAAACATATTTGCGATTTCCAGATAGCTGTATTAAAGCGGATTCGATGTGATCCAGCAACAGGCTACTACGAATACACTCGGGCACTCCAAACCGTAACTGTAGGATGTCATTCGGTACTTCCAAGAAGTCAAAAAGCCAGTCCTTTGGCAAAATTGTATAGAAAAACTAATACTATTGAAATTTAATAAATTTATATGTTTTTTTTTTACTATTATTAGCGGTGAAGCTTATCAAAGTTGTACTTCATCGAATAGAGATTGATCTTAGCTGGCGTAATCCTAAAGGACCAAAGAAGATTAAAACTAAGCTTTCATGTTCGAGTGTAAAGATGAAATTGAAAAAAATATAATTTCGAAACATTCCCTAATTTCTAGATAATTTCGCAGCAATTATTTCTAGTCAAAGGAATTAGTCGTACTATGCTATTTAATATTTCACTCATATTAATCTCTTGCACTTTTTTTTCTCATTTAATAAAAATAGATGGCATGCATTTCTTGTTGATTGTAATACGTAAATGATGAAGTGATTTTCAAATAATATAACTTAACTTGAAATAGATCCAAGTTCACCTATCCCAAGGTGCCCTAATGTTAAACCAAGTCGATTTAAAGTACTAATAAAACACCAACGGCTAATTGTTAAAAGTATGTAAAATTTCCAAATGCACTTGTATACCGTATGACAATCCACACAGAGAAAACATTTACATCTTTAAAAACATAAATTTCAGATGAATTAATCAAACGTCTGTGTTCATTTCCTGATTATTAACAATGTATTCGTATGTACCATGAAACGAATGAATTCAAAACAAAATGTTTATTTTACATTGAAATGAGCTCATATATTTTCACACAGCCAAAACGAAAAAAAAGAATCAAAAAATCTCCCTTTCCTCACAAAGTTGATGAATCTCTTACTATCAGACACACCTTCATGCTCGAGAGAAATATAACGGCAAAATCTGAACAAAAAGCTAAAATCCTAAGTTGGAGAATAAAATCTTGAGTTGTAAAACATCTGGCACTAGCACGAGAATATGGAAATAATGAAAAAAAAAAATGCAAAGGTAACTAAAGGTAACCAAGAATCATAAAAATTTCTCATTTTTAAGAAAATAAGGCTGAACTTCTATTTCAATCTAGTGATTTCAAAAAACAAAAAACTATCAAAAAAACCTACCATCGGTAAAGCCCAATCAACCGGAACTGCTTGTTTTGGCAATCAGTTAAGAAAAAAACCCCTCTAAAATTTAACTTAACCAAATAATAAATTTCCTATATATTCCAGATTTTTATAGAAACATGGAAAATAACATGTCAGATTCACTCTTCTAACTTAAAATTGAAGATATATTAATGACCACCCAAGCACCTTATGGACCAATATGTAGCACGTGTATCAAAATAGTATAAACAATACCAAAAAATGTTTCCATATAATCTAAATGTATGATTTACAGGAATATATTCCATTTCATCAAGTCAGAAAACAAAAAAGTTGATGTTCAAATATGCAAATAATATGTGCATCATGTGCTCTTTGAGAATTAAAATTCAAAGACGGATTTAAGATGAGAAATTTGGGACGGGAAATAGTAACAATAAGGAGAAGAATAGATCAATACAGCTGAAGAAAGAAGCTTTAATAGCTGAAAATATCTAACAGCATTAATTAACAAATTGACCAGCTACTGATGGTAGAAACTGTGCGCTTTCCAAATAATGGTACTTTCTGACATTCAGCCGAAACATAACTTCTTGAGATCAAAGTTTTCGTCATAAAGTGGAAAATTATTCAATAAACAAAGATCTGATTGGATAAAAAGGTGCCAACAATATAATTTTTTCGAATTATGCAGAAAAAAGATTTTCAAAAAATGATAAAAACAAATATCGCATTCATTCAATAAGACGCATAATTTTCTGTAAACTGTATGAACTTCCTCTAAATTTTTTTCGGACTTATGGAAACAAATTCCTCATTTCAAAATTTCTAGCAGCCTATAAAAAACAGTAATTTCAGTTTAGATATGATTCTAAAACAGAATGCCCTGCATCTTAATTAGAAAAATTTTACTCCGCAATTAAAAACCATTACATCAGACTCCTAAATATATCAAGTGTCCAAATCTAAAGTTAACCATATATTTTCTTATATACTGCTAGTAGTACACATTCGATCATTGCTATCATTTGTAAATAAAGTTAGCACTTTTTCTAGATTTGACCTACCTGTCAAACATTTAAAATGAATTAGAATTTAAAAAAAAAAAAAAGAAAAAAAAAACAACAATTTCATCAGTCAATATTTAAAACTCTAAAAGAATGGCAATAAGTAACTTCTCTGAAATGGACAAAGTACCCACCTTTTTCTTTCATAGTAAGATTCGCAAATGCTAGCAGTGACCCGTTCCTTGAAGACTTAATAAATCGTGTTATGCACTTTATTTCACCAACCTCCCCCTCATCATTTTAACCAACCAAACATATGTAAAATTTTTATGAATTTTTGAACTCAGAATAAACAAACACCCAAGAATCCTACCTTCCCATATTGCACGAAGCACTTATACAATCAAACAGAAAAAATTTTAGGAAAAGATTTTTGACATGTTCACATTTGCTCACAGCTAATACGACAAAGGTAGTGGAAAACATCTCAAAAAATGTCACGCAAAATATTTCTACAACCAGTGTGCACCTAATAATCAAGATAAAAAACTTCATGTGATCCCATCGACGTCATTTAACATCAACAGTTCCACAGGATTTGATTTTGTTTAGATGAAGATGTAAAACGTTGCAGCACTGTTACGTATATCTAAACTGATCAACGCATCAATCAAATCTTAATCACACACAGTTTACAAATGTTTTTATATTTCACAAAATAGCTTGTCAAGCAATAAGTAACACAAATATCTATAATGAGTTTAACGCAAATACTTGTGAATTAGGCTTTCCAATCTACCTCTCTATTAAAAAAAAATCTTTAATCACAACCTTTGAAAAAAGAAAGTTTTTGAGAAATCAAGTTCTTGTGGGTGAAGATGAAGCTGAATGAGTTTTCTCATTCTTTGCTTCACATTCCGCCAAAATACTATCAATAACTGATCGTGCTGCATGGATGCTGACACCTGCCGGACATGCCTGTGTCACTTCCCCACCTAACTCACGCATTATAAATTCTGCATCCAAATGTGATTGTTTTCCATGCTCCTCAAAAATTTCTGAAAATAAACTTCTACGAGTTTCAGATTATTAAAATGACCCAAAAAATATAATTATCTCGTGAGCCTCTCGATAAACAAAATATATATATATAATTATAGGTAGATGATATATTTTGCTGCTATTAACCATTCACCATCATTCTGTATGATTAATTAATACATTTAATAATCCAGCTCAAATCACTGAAATTCCACTTCATACTATATTTGCTATTATTTCATTTACTGCATTATAATCTACAGCTCGCTACTTGTTAAAACATCAAAAGTGTTAGAAGGGTAACCAGTTTAAATAAGGCAATAAAATTCATTTTATATAAAATACAGTTCCGAAAAAGAACCCTGCACTCGTTCAAAAATCTTTTGTTTCCATCCCTCTTCTTTTTTGACTGCGTCTTGATCAACTTTTGGTGCTGCATCAAAACATACAAGTATAATAGTCATGTTATCCCGTGAGCCTTTCGATAAACAAGCATCCAGCACCTAGAAAGAAATCCACCAACATAAACTTTTAATCCTTGTAACATATCGGAGAACCTACCAAAACTCTTAACGGAACGATTTCAATCATTTATAGCTTTCGATCATTTGAACCATCTTACAGGCAAAAATTTCAACAGAAACTATAGCAAGCAGAAAGCATTAGTCATATTGTAACACTCTTAATAAGCTATCTTTTCCAAACGATTTTAAAAAACTTTCGAGCTCCACATCAGTCCAAAAGAAAGTTAAATGAAAGACTTAACTTTAATATGGATTAGAAAAACAAAAACACTTTATCAATAGCAGTATGCATCTCCCGAAATATTCCGAGATTATATCACACAGTACCATTTCCTCAAATGTGTCAAAATTGATAAGTGTCCCTTTTCTCTCCCTCCCCCTCCTTCTCCCCCTTCCAAAAAAAAGAAAAAAAACCTGGTTTGCAACACTGGAGAGATCACTGGTTACAAGAAGACGCGATTCTACGAAGCTACAAATTTCGGCATTTTCCATAACATCATAAACTCCATCACATGCAAGTAACAAGAACTCATCTACTTTCTGAAATAAGTTACCTATAGTAAAGTATCTTCCATCTCTGTTCTGAAGTCATTAATTTTGATACTCATAAAGCAAAAATAAACCAATTGAACAAAATAAGAATGTTAAAAGAAAGAAAAAGTAAACGAAATCCTAATAAAAAAAAAAATAGGCATGCCTCCCGCTGATGGTACAGATGTACACCAGATACGAATAACAACTTTATAGATTGCATTCCCCAAACTTTAATGAATATTATTTACTTTCTGCTAATTATACCATTAGTAGAATTAGAACTATTAGAAAAATATAGCAGTAGTTTTTGTCCTCTTCATTACCCAAATAGAGTATTCTTACCGGATCTCTTACAATCGTATAGATATCTGGTTCCGGACTGACCAACTGTTTCGTTGCATCCAAACCTGGAACAGCTTTGTATTCAAAGTCGCCAAGCGCACGAGATACTGCCAAGCTACCATTAACACGCTGGATCATCACGGAACCACCAGCATTCACGATACGATCGCGTTCTTTTGGAAGAAACGGTTTGTGATCCTCGGTACCAAACGCTGCTTGATCTTTTCGTGCCATTACAGCACGAGAATCGCCTGCATATACATAAAATATAAAAAAATCCCTAAGAAAGCATCGGTAATATGAATATATAACTTATGAAAAATTCAATTTCTTGATTTATAATTAAGTAAACTTACGATAAGTTTAAACTAATAAAAGTTGCTTTTACAACAATACAGAGAAAGCAGCAAACAGTTCTTACTGACAATCGACACAAAACGCTAAAGTTGTCAGTGTTTATAAATGTCTAGCATATAAAAAAAAATGTAATGGAAAATGTAAAAAATGTAGTGAAGAGATAAGTACATTCCATTTTCATTTTTCCATTTCATAAAACGAATACTTCCT